AATAATAATAATAATAATAATAATAATAATAATAATAATAATAATAATAATAATAATATGAACAAGACGATATGCGCAAAAACCTTTGTCCTGTAGTTGCTGAGACCACTGGGATGGGTCATATTGACTGATTACAGTACAAGAAACAGGCAGAATCTCTTCTACAGCACACAAAGTGAGATTATCTTTAAAAAAAAAAAGCCAGGAATACAATACAAGCTATTGAATGAGAACAAGTTATATTTCATATCAACGCTTCTTTTCCTTGGCAACAGTAATAATAATAATAATAATAATAATAATAATAATAATAATAATAATAATAACATTGAGGATGATAATAAAAATAAGAACACATTAATAATACTTAAAATTAGTTTATATTTAATTCAAGTGAACATTTCATTTATTGAACATCAGCAAAACGCAGAATTTGCAAAACACTGAAAAGAAATGGCAAATGTTTAATAATTTCATTTAAATGTTTTTCTATTGAACAAAATAAAAAAGTTATTAAGGTCAAGACCAATTGAAAACAGCAAGAATAACACCGGAGGCCATGTGATTCTTTAGAGCACAGAACAAAGACTGGAATGATCCAAGTTCAGTCTAACGATGATACTACTAGCACAAGCGTATTTATTCATTTATACAGTTCACCGAGATGCCTGTTGTGAGGAGACCTCGAAGGAACGACTGTTGAGTGTATGTTGCTCAGTTTATCCATATTCAATTTTCCACAGAATGTAAATTAGATTCCATCCATCATGGTAGCCTTAAATTTCCAAGTCTTCTGGGTAGGGGAACTTTAGTGCATGTGGCTGATTGGGACTTTTTAATTTTGGGACTTTTTTTTATTTTCACCTATAAGGCCAAGGTATATGTGTCCACAAAGCCCGGGTTCACAAATAACACAACTGTCATAAAATGACAATTATGTCGAGTACGCTGTAATCCACAAGGATTTTGAAGAAAGTTTGTACGTTTCTGGCGCCCCCTACAGGTTGCTGTAAAATGCTCTGGCGTTATCACGGCATAAAAATCGCGATCTTTGATAACTGCACGCATGCTTATTGAGTTCTGACAAAACCAATACCAATACTTTTGATGCATAATGGAAGCCACGTCTTTTTATATTGTTCCCTATATCAGTGCATAGCCGTCTGGCCAGTATAGGGCACTGACTGCGGTCGTCTGACTTTTCAAGTGGTGTTTATGGTGGCAGAAGAACTAAACCTGTTTCAAGTGATTTGCCCTTTGCTCTAATTGAAACATGCGAATGATCACTGACAGTGCCTCAAATACAAAGAAACCAGCAACTCTATGAGTAAATATAAATATTTTTTATCCGTTGCCTGCAACTTTAGTAGAAAAATTAAAGTTTAAAAAAGGTGAATCAATGTTCTTTCACAGAGATGTGGCGAACATGAGAACATTTCTGCACAGCCTCAGACGTATGATTAAACAATTGTCCATGTGTTAAAAGCACAGACACCTTACAAAGACCTGATTTTCCACAGCTCTTTTCGTTAAATTCTGCACATGACTCGTTTCATAAATAAGGGGACATAACTAAGAAAACAAACAAACAAGCAAAACAAGAGGCTTAGGAACGCAAAGATTACAAAATAAGGAAGAGGAAGTTCACCCAAACACAGGGGGTTTCAGAACAGCCACCCCCATCTGTGCAGCTTTCATAAGTTGTAGCGGCTCGTCTGTCCTCCAGAGGCGATGCTGGAGTTTGAAGAGACATGCGGATGGCTCAGGACGCAGCTTCTTCCCCATGCCGTGCACAGACTTCATAAGCGGACAAAGTTTTTAAATTTAGCATTGGCCTGCGGTTTATTCCGCTCTTCGCCAACATGGAGTATTGGAGGCAATGTGCGATGTGGCTGATCAGCTGCAACGTGCTGCCTGCGAACCACCGGGTAACTGCGGACACGGCGCAGGTGTTCGACCTGGCGCAAACCCTGCGGGACGGGGTGCTGCTATGCCAGCTACTCAACAACCTAAGACCCCACACTATCAACCTAAAGGAGATCAATCTCAGGCCACAAATGTCACAGGTACATCCATCATTTTATGCGCTACTTTACGAATTACTTGTAAAAAATATTGTGAAATCAAATTCATGCGTTCACTAGCATGCCATAAGCTAAACCTATAGTGGTGTCCAGGAAAGTCGGGGTTAAGTTTATTAGCCCAATAACCAATGGTAAAGAACCAAAGTAGTTCCGCTGGTGGAAGAGGACGCCTAATCAAAAATGTGTGAAAGTGGACAAAGACATATTTGCAGCTCCTTATTAAGAAGATCAGGCTGTAGCAATTCTAAATAAGGTTCCTAAATACATGGAAAAGAAATGGTGGAAGCTATATTAGGGCGTTTTATATTTTGTTGTTCTGCCTGCAAGGAGCTACAGTAATTAGGGTACAGAAGCCTGTTCCAGTTTTATTGAAGGTTTAATGCAGACTTAGGTGAGATTTTCCCTTTAAGTTATTCCATATTTTCAAAATAAAACCGCAAATTCTAAAGATTTGCAGTTTAAGGCGACCTTTAGATTATTTCCATCTGTTACACACTGTTTTATTTGTGTCCTGTCTTATTTGGCTTTGGGTCCAACAGATAAGTTTCACTAAAGCCGTGGAGTGGCCTCTGACAGATATCTTTACCCTTTTCTTTTATTGTGAAGATGATGTTTCACTTTCTGTGTCCTGTTCTGGTGTCTTGATCTTTGTTTTTTTCTGGATAAAGTTCTTTAGCTTGTGTGAAACTTGTCTGGTTTGTGAAACACTAAGAAATTGTCCAAATAGACTTCTCCTTGCTCATGCAGTAACCCTTCACGAGCTGAAGGCTCTGGAGGCATCTGATAAAATCCTGCCTTTGATCCACCCATTAGTTGGGAAACTACATTTTGTGCAGTGGCTTGCCGTTTGGTTTGATGGCATATGACATGTGTAATAATTTTAAGCTAATTTTTATTTAAATCTCTTGCATTACTGTCTTGGCCAGTTAAATAAAATAAAACAAAACATAACAATTTAATGTTTTAAATTAAAAGCATCTTCCTTGGTGTAATATATGTATTTGCAGGTGTGCCTACAAACATAATTAAAGCCTGCCGTGGTTACCAATATATTTATACGTTTTCTGTGCTCCTAAGTTACTGTAACAGCAGCACTTCCTGTTCAGCAGCATACTCAGGCAGGTGATTAGATCTTTCTGCATCTAGTTGAAAGAGTAATGAACGATTAAAGTCAAAGAAACCGTTAATAATACACCATAAAAAGACAGTGACGTGATGCATACACACACACACACACACACACACACACACACACACACACACACACACATAAATACATTTTATAATTGTTAGCTGACATCAAATAGGCACTAAAAGCAAATTATATGCAGTTTGGTTGAAATGAGCTGTCACCATGATATGATCATCATGATGATATGTTTTTTGTAGTGATAGATCTGCATGAGTGATTGGGCTCTGTCTCACAAACTGTACTATGCACATGTGCTATGCTTTGCACTATCTGCTTCACCAGTGCCTATGTGCTTCTCTTTAATATTTTTTAAAAGAGAGTTAAAGCAAACCCAGGGCATAACAGGCCAAACAATGGATAGACATAGCCTGTAGCTGTAGGCCACTTGGCAATGGTTGCAAAAGGCATGTGTGTCAGTGGGCTCCATATTTTAAATGGCTCTTTCATTGTCATCTACTGATGGGCTATCTTCGAAAAAAGAAACAAGGGCACTGGTGAACATGACTAAAGTGTACACTGATGAAAGGTTACCCAAGACCCGTGTTGTATGCTGAGTTTTGGTACGAATTCAAATAACAATTCACATAACCATTTTGACTATGTCAGTCATGAACAAATATGAACAAATACGCATTGGAGACGCAAATACCCACTGCCTCTCTTATTTGCTTCCAAAGTTATACAAAGTAAAAGCTTTTTAAAGTAGTCTAGTTTAAATATAACAGGAAGTAAACTTAGCTAAACAAATCACAAACAGACCACTACTAACTGAAAATGAAAAATAATAAACTTAAAAGGTGTTTAAAAAAGTCTTTTTATTATCGTGGAGCCAGAGATTCTGGGTGTTACTCTAAATGTGAATACACGAATGTGCACCAGGGCTGTGACTGTGTTCAAAAGTATGAGGCTGTTGGTGGTGCAAAGCCATCATGTTCTTGCACTTCCTCCGTAGACAAACAGGGCCCCTGGGGGCGGCGGGGTGATTACAGGCGTCTCCATGATGAGCTGATGTGATAAAAAGAAGCCTATCTGTTCTCAAGAATTTTCTTACCTACTGCTTAAGTTATTAAATATTCAGTTTCTAAATCAGCCATTTCTCAGCAATGTGTTTGACAGGAAAAATGAACTGAGGTGATCTAACAGTGCTGTATACATTTTCTTTTTAACTGAAGTGGCTCAAACTAGACAAAGACCAGTATCTTGAACTCTAAACCAGAACTTTATGTCCAATGTTTCTGTTGGCTGCCGTCTTCCCACTAACACAAAGATCCTAATAGGAAGTGACACCAACAGAGGACATAGTTGGTGGTTTCATTTCACAGTATAAAACTTTCATTTTTCATTTTCAGTTTGTAGGGGCTGTAGTTTACTTTAATGTTTAGAAAAGGGACTTTAAATTCTTGGTGCTATAAATTAAAGTTGATTTACATTACAAAGGAGGTTAAAGAGTTTGTTTTTATTTTCCAAACAACGGAAAGTACACTTTTAATGTTACTGTGGTATCTACTCATGTTAGTTTAGTTTTTATTTGACTTAATTTTTGTCTGCTAGCTCTAGATTAAATGAGATCCCACGTAACTAATTTAACAGCGACAGGCATTTTCAGAAACAGCACAACTGTTGTTCTAGGAAAAACCGCAAACAGTGCTGTCAGCAGTTTCTGTTTCTTCAAAATAATTCCAAGTACAATTGTTTATTTAAAAAAAAAAAAAAGTCAGATTACTGTACTTTGGTGTTAGGTTTTCGATATGATGAGTGTTAAAAATCTTGTGGAGATGAAACCCTCTTGAAACCTGTAATTTGTATTGAGTTTGGGTTGAGATAGCCTTAAAAACAGCTTTTTATGTTTGCACATATGTATTTAACCTCTTAAGACCCGAACTCTTCCACGACATGCATTTTTAATTTTTCTTTGATATTTGGGCATATTGGGACAAGATGAATGTAAAAACAAAGAATTACCAGATTTTTTTTTTACCTTATTTTTGTTTTTAAGAAAAATAAGAGCCGCATATGAGGATATTCGTTTAAAATTTTGATAGAACAGTAGCACTATAATGTCCTCATAAGTAGATATCAGACCCTTGTAGAGCAAAATTGAGTATTTTGGTCTAAATAACCCAAAATGTGATGTCCACATATGTGGACGCCAGGTCCTAGGAGGTTAAACAAAAACTAGTTACAAAGAATGTAAACAATGTAAAATTAAATCTATCTACATACAACTTTTTATGTTATATAACAGTCTGTTTCTGCCCTTTGCAGTTCCTGTGCTTGAAAAACATTCGGACATTTCTGGCCTCTTGCTGTGATGTGTTTGGGATGAAGAAGAGTGACTTATTTGAAGCCTTTGATCTCTTCGATGTCCGAGACTTTGGAAAGGTAGCACCCATTTCTGTCATTATGATTTTCTAACGTTGCACTATGAAACAGTCCAGTAATTTCATGTATCATAACATTCTTCTCTCCTTTCATACAGTCATTAGAATCATTTATAAAAGTCTGTAAATTAGTTTGAGTGAATACATTACATGTCACAGCACTATTACATTTGAACTGGTAACAATAACTGTGCAGATTGTCTGTCCCAGTTCACCAGTTTACAGTTTTTCTCCATTGCTCAGATATTAGACATAAGTAATAGTTCAGAGTAAGTGTTATGATAGATTTTGTCCAAACTTAGACGTTATACATCTAAAAAAAGAAAATCATTATGTAAAAAGTCTAAAAAGAGAATTTTCTGTAACGGATCTCTTTTTTTAAAGAAAGAGTCAAAGAACAATTAATTAACAAAATAATTTTTCCAGTATTTTACAAAACAGCTTGAACAGATGATAACGTTTTCAAAACAAGCCTAAGTGCATATGCTTGTGATGTTTCACTGCATTATTGTCTTCGTAGCTGTCTTTTGGTGTAAGTGATGCCACACCTGCTCTGTTTTTCTGTCCGAATTGATCTATAAATTCTGCCAACTCTTTAAAATACAAGTCTGAGGTATGATGGAAGCATAGTGTACGTGTGCGTCTTCTCTGTGTGTGAGTCTGAAAGTGTTCGCTGTTTGCCTACCCGCTGCCTGGTTTTACATTTTCATGGAGCTTTTTGAAGGGATTGGCTGACTTCTTTTTATTGCTGTGTTATTGTGGGACCTGTTTTCAGTGTGTGTACACAGCGTTACCAGGTCAGTGGGTTTGTAGTGCGCTCTGTGCAGCCACTCAGCGGACTGTCGCTTAAAGCACAGGAGCCTAATTTAACTTTGCCACGGAAAGCACACTTACTCTGAGGAGCCTTATTCCAACATTTCCTTATTTAAGTACACCATTTTACCTGGGGGCATTATGAGTTGTCTAAGCACTGAGAGGCTTAAAGAAAATTATAATTTGTTTTTTTAAATAAAACTATTAGAGCATATGTATTAATCTATGCTGAATGTATTCTATCTGAGATTTTTTTTTTTTTTTTACCTCTGAAGTACATACGATTGGGCTATCCATCCATGCGTTTTCTTAACTCATTATCCATTTCACTGTTCCAGAAAGGCCGGAGCCTATTTGACCTGACATGGGGCAAGAGGCAGGGCAGACCTGGGCCAGTTCGCCAGTCTATTGAAGCTTAAATAGGCTTGTTTGTCTCTTTTTACATTTTTTTTACATTTAGTTGTTTTGCCTGAATGCTTATTGTGTCTAAATAATGTATACGGTATCTCATGAGTTTAGTTTGGTAAAGTAATACCATATATCTTATATACATCATAACTTAGGCATACTATATATGATTGCAATAGTGAATTCACCTCCCTCTGTAGATTGGAAGTGGTCATACGTGAACTATGAGAGTGCATACCAAGCTGTGTGTGTAGTTTCTTATACAAGCTCTCTTTTCTTTCAGTTCAGTGTGTTGTGCTCTAAAGAAGCTTCTAGTTAATCTGGCTGCTGATAATCCCACAGGGGAGGTAGGGCTTGCAAATATGTACACTACATCCAAGCCGGGCTGCATAATCTCAGCCATGTTCAAGGGTTGTCCATCAAACAAACAAGCCTCTGGAGGATAAAGATTGCACCAGATCATTGCTTTTTTTTATTGGTAGTTAGAAATACGGGTGACTGTAGGTTAAGCAGTTGGGTTGGATTGGCTCCATGAAGGGGTGTATGTCTAAAGAAGAAATGCTCAATCTCTTCTTTTTTTTTTTTTTACTTACAGAAAACTCCAAAAAAGGAACATCTCAAATCTCAACCAGTGTAATCCACTTGGGGTCGAGTTGTGCCAGCTCTGCCTGTGGACTGAGTATTAGTCCACTGAATATCTAATGAGAGCTCTGTAACCTACATTTCTCAGCTGAGTTACTACAGGCTTCACTGCAGGGAGCCAAACTTGACACTTGGCACGTAGAAGGCTGAAGGCTAGAGAGATAAAGCAGAGGGGCAAGAAGTGTGTTTATTTCTTCCTTCAGTATAAACTACTATTAATATTTTCACAAAACAACATTATTTTTGTACGAAGTTCATGCAGTTTTTCTTTTTGGGAAATAACTTCACGCTTTCTTCCTGAGAATAAGATAAGAAAATTGATAACACATGTCAGCACATAACATGTCAGTGTTGTTGAGTGGTATCGGCATATCGGCGAACAGGATCATATTCAGCGATATCAGTTTTCAGTGTTTATCTGTTGCAAAACATCAATTTTGCAATTGCAAATTTTTTGAAAATTGTATGATAAAAATTTGAAAAACAGAAAACTATTTAAACCATTCAGGTTTTTGATATGAAAGAAATACGCTGATAGCATATGGATAACTGGAATTGTTGTCGGGGAATTGTAGTTTTAAACTTAAATGTCCATATCTGCCCATAATTTAATAAAAAATAAATAAAACATTTATAAATTTAATTAATTAAGTGTAGGTAGGTGGACGTTACATCAAGCGATCTGCTTCACTGTTCTGCGCTAAGCTAATATTTAGCGTTTAGAAATAAGAGCGCTGTCGGTCTTCTTATTTTAACTTGCCAAGTGCAACCTTCATGCACAGATTATCAGTGTGTGATCAGTTGGTACCATCACACACTGAAGAATGCAAAAATACCGTTTTAAATGTGTGCTTTGACGCTTAACTCAGCAAAGCTCACATTAAGGTTGGTAAAAACTAAACAAAGAGTGTGAAGTAGCCCCTTCTGAAACGTTACATTTGCATAACCCAAAGTCTGACAATTACCAAAAGCCTCAAAAAACTCTCAACAATAATGCGTTCCTGATTATAATTTCTGTTAACGACACTACATTCTCTTTCTGGCTGTATCTTCGTAGAATCATCCTTGGGGTGGCTAAATAAATATCAGAGCATTCTCAGAAAGTTGATGGACTTTAATTTTGTTTTGGGAAGCTAATAAAAAAAAAAGTATATTTTGTGCAGTGTGATAGACGTGAACAGCTTGATTATTATTTAAAAAAACAGAATATATTTACAAATTGACCGTTAAAGTGACCATTAGTAATTAATTAATTAACACGTTAAGAATAATTAACGTGCAGAATAATCTGCAAATATACAAAAAAATGTATTTGTTTCTCTTCTGTTAAATATTGAACAAATAACTTGGAAAATAAAAGAAAGAAGTAGAATAAAATATCAGAATCTCCGTCTGCTACCAGGAAAATTATCATTTTAAACTTCGGTGTCTGTCTCAGCACAGGAAAAGAAAAAAGAAATATGAATTTCATATATATATTGCCAAAACGATTAAATTAACATGTCTTTTAACACGCTTTTCCTTTGGATAGAGCTACACTGTCACACTGCCTGTCCCTATTTCTGGGTCAAGCTAATATTTAGCATTCAAACTAGACAGTGGTATTAATCTTCTTGCCCAACCTTGATTATTGCGAATATATGTATTTCCTGAAATGTCAATCTATTCCTTTAACCAAGCTGAAAATCTGTCATGTAGAGATTATCACTGTATGGTCCATTAGTATCATCACACCATGTAAAGTTTCACCTTTATATTTAGTGCCGTTATTTCTGTGTTAATAATAATGAAAAATGATCATTGTCAGCTGCACTTTGGAGCTGTTGTTCCAAAGATTAGAGGGCCCTGCTGAAAAGGCTCTGTTACTTCTGCTTTCACGCCTGGATCTAGGAAGAT